ATCTTGGAAATCTGCAGGGCAGTGATATGGTCGTTGGTGCATACCTTTGCAGAACATTATGCAATTATGCAACTGGCCAGGGAGGATGCTGCCGTTGAGAGGGCAGTTCTGAGATCTGCGGAAGGATAATTAGGTAGTTAGTCACCTTCCGACCCCGCCTCCGATGGGGGGGGGGGATACGGCTAGGGATTCACCTAATCAGAATGGACATTAACCTCTTCTTCTTCGAGTGCTTGCTTCTTACCTCGTAACTATAGTTCTTCGAGATGTGTTGCTCATGTCCATTCTGCGTCCCACCCACCTCCCCATGTTGGAAGGAGCCGGCAAGAAGGAACTGAGGGTGTGGAAGGGCCAGCAGGGGTATATATGCACCGGTATACTGGCGCCACTCCAGGGGGCTCCCTACTGGCCCTATGGATACTGCTAAGGGAAAAAAGCTCTGGAATCCGGGCACATGGCGCGCGTACATCTAATCAGAATGGACATGAGCAACACATCTCGAAGAACTACAGTTAGAAGGTAAGTAACCTCTTCTTTTGTGTGATTGTAGAACATAGAGAAAATTGTTAAAAGTATTCCCATTAGTCAGCTTTCATCAACAAATTTAACTTCAATTGCTTTGCTCAGTTTGGTGTAATTTCTCGCTTCTAATATTAAAAGAAAATTTTTTTTTAAAGAGCTTAAAAAAAGATATTAATTAAGCCAATGTTATATTATGTAAATATCTGAAGTATATTAAATGTTGGAACTACTAAAGGGTTATTTTCTTTAAAAATTGTATATTAAAACAATTTCCTTGTCTATTTTAAGAGGATATAAGAACAAACCTAGCATTTATGCTATTACTTCCATAATGAACATGGCTCCTGAAAATAGACCAGTCACTTTCAAACTTAAATCATTCACTTGCAAGTTGCTGTACTGCTTTGACTGCAGATCTTTCAGGAAGAATGTTTGGATATAAATAATTATACAGAAACCTTTCCATTTTTCTTAGTTATGGAAATAAGTTCTGAATTAACCCGACAATATCTCTTTAAGGTTACAGGTATCTAACAAATTACTTGTGTATACTTTTCTCTATTTCCAAGCTAAATTCATTTCTCTTTGTAAGCTCATATAGCAAGTAATGGCAGTTATGAAACTAACATCTTAGGGTCAGCACAAATTCTGCTATAAGCTGAAACTTGTGGTGCTTCATACATTGTCTTAAATACAATAAATGAATAATTTTACACCTGTGTATTCATCTTACACATTTACATTTGTTACGCATATGTTTAGGTCTACAAGCAAATATACCTGACTAGTATGTCTAAAAATAGAACCTAAAGCTTTCCATTGCAAGAGTTATCATAGGGAGCAGGAAAGGGAGAAAATATATTTTATTAGCATCTATCTTTTGTGACAAGTTTCTAG